ATATTAATCATAGTTGGGCAAGTTTCCTATTAAATTTTTTACATTAAGTTTAGGTAAAGTTTACTTCCGTTTATCATATTATATTCACTACAATACTCTTCTTAGTTGTATAACTATTTTTAATATTTTTTATTACATAGTTTCATAATGGTTAATGATATAAGCTGTTAGTTAAAGGGTCATGTTAATTGTTTTCCCCCATAAGTTTGAGGGTCGCATTGAATGCAATAGTAATTTAATGGCCAAATTGATTATTTTTTTGAAAATTACAAGAGCCTTCGATATATTTTTTCAGAAAATTAATATAAATTAAATAAATATTAATCGGGTATCGATTACCCGAAAATACGGATACCTAGGTTTCATGGGTACCCAACTTATGGGTGCCCGCATATTACTGGTTTGAGATATAGACTGAGTTTTGACACCCAAAAATTCGAATACATGAAAAAGTGAGTACCTAGATATGAACATCCCTAACTAATACGGATGATAAAAAATCATATATTAAATTTACAATGATTATTTTTATAAACTATAGCACATCAAAGTTTAACCAAAAATTATTTTTAATATACGAATTTTATATACGATTTTTTTATCATTTTTATTAATAATTAATATTATTATAATTATCGATTTGTTTTATATTTTAATATTATATGAATCTCTTCAGAACCATCATGTTCTGAATATTATAATTTTATTATTATTATTATTATTATTATTATTATTATTTAAGAAGATATCAAAAGATCCTCTAATTAATAATAATAATAATCGTACTATGCGTTTAATAGGAGTGTAATTTTTGTTTAATATTTAATCTATTACAATATTTTATATTTTATTATTTTAATATTATATGAGTCAAACAAATAATTGTGCTATGCTCTTAATAATATTAAATAATATTTTTAAAATAAATAATTAATTTAGGAGGGAAATTTCCCTCTATATTATTTTAAAGGAAATTGGTTTTTAAAGGAAAACTGGTTTTTAGAGAAATTTATTTGTATTTATTTTATAAATACGGGTACCTAGGTTTCATGGGTACCCAACTTATGGGTGCCCACATATTGCTGGTTGAGATGTAGACTGAGTTTTTGACACCCAAAAATTTCGAATACCTGAAAAAGCGAATACCTAGATATGAACATCCCTAACTAATACGGATGATGAAAAAAATCATGTTTTAAATTTACAATGATTATTTTTATAAACTATAACACATCAAAGTTTAACCAAAAGTTATTTTTAATATACGAATTTTATATACGATTTTTTTATCATTTTTATTAATAATTAATATTATTATAATTATCGATTTGTTTTATATTTTAATATTATATGAATCTCTTTTGAATCATCATGTTCTGAAGATTATACTTTTATTATTATTATTATTATTATTATATTATTATTATTATTATTATTATTATTATTATTATTATTATTTTCAGAAGATATCAAAAGATCCTCTAATTAATAATAATAATAATCGTACTATGTGTTTAATAGGAGTGTAATTTTTGTTTAATATTTAATCTATTACAATATTTTATATTTTATTATTTTAATATTATATGAGTCAAACAAATAATTATGCTATGCTCTTAATAATATTAAATAATATTTTTTAAAATAAATAATTAATTTAGGAGGGAAATTTCCCTCTATATTATTTTAAAGGAAATTGGTTTTTAAAGGAAAAATGGTTTTTAGAGAAATTTATTTGTATTTATTTTATAAATACTTTTTTTAAAACCCTCAGTTTAATTGTTTCAGACCATTATTCCATCTTTATATTTCTTCTTTCATCGTGAAGGCAAAAAATAAAACAACGAGTTTTTTCTTTGATATTATGTCTAATTACTCTAGTAGGGATTAATTTAAAAGAAATCTAAACGTAAGGATTTGATCTAAAATTAAGATTCTATGACTACATTGAAAGGAATATAAATTACCCAACAAAATTAAATGCAATTAAAAAGAACCAAGAGATTAAAATGTAATAAAATAAAAAGGCAATAGTTAATTAAAAATAAAACATAATAGCATAAAATGATGACTAAATTGTACTAAAACAAAACAATGAGCCACGATCAGAAATTAGAAAAAAAACATTCAGTGACCAAATTGGAAGAAAGTAAAACAATGGAAAAAATATGAAAATAAGTGAGACTAAAAGGTCCCGTATCATAATTAGACTAAAACTTTTAGGAGAACACAAAAACCCTAGCCTTTTGCGCGTGTTATTTTCACTTGGTCATTTATCCTCTTTGTGCGTCGCATCTCTCTCCTCCCCTCTTTCTTTTCTTTTTTACCATTTGCAAACCCTAACCCCCAAACCCATTTTTCAAGAACTACTTTAAGAAAAAAAATCAGCTTCCACTCAATTTTTCTACTTATGATATACACTTCTTTTAACTAGAGTGTTTCCTGATTCTGATCCAGCACTGTAGGGTATGAGGCTTCGGGAACCAGCGTCATGAAATTTTTGATGAATGTATGTTTACTTTTAGCCACATAAGGTGGTTCTACGATTGAAATGATTGAAGAAGTAGGTCGGAAAAACATGGTAAGTGCCACATCACCATACATAAAAACAAAACCAACAATATTAGTAGGACTGGATTTCTGATAAAATTTCTTTCAGTTTCTCTTTGGTGCATAAGTGAATGAAGTTCCTGCATTGCACGAGAAAGGACCGGCTCTTAAAGTTCCTCTTCAATTTTTGCGTATTGTAAGGTGTTATACCCCAATCGTTTATGTGTAGTGTATAAGCTTTATCAATACTATATATCATTTTTTATTAAGAATTTACATCTTAGTTTATCAGTAGGAGATATATCCTTACTTTTCTTACACAGAATTTGATTTGAGTGGCATTGTTTTACTATTATATATATATATAGGATGATCCGAGACGGTCATTTTGGGTTGAAAGACTATTTCAAATCTTTGTGCGACAAAATAGAGGGTGCGAATGACTATTTTCTACTTGGAGTGGATTTTGCAAGCTACCTAAAGGCCCATGTAAATAACTGGTTTTCCATCTGGTTGGAATTGAAAAAAAGATTTTGCAATTTAATTGTGGAGTTGTGTTGAAATGAACAGGCGGCTGCTAATAAAGCGTTTGTTGATGAAGATGGATGAACCCAAATGAGTATACTTTGTGCAGCTGGCTCTGTGAAATTTAGCAGCGATAGGACCATCCAAGAATATGCCGAAAAAACTTAATTCAACCTTGCAGATGTTCCTCCTGATTTTAGAATTTCACTTTTCTCAATATTATGACAAATAACATTCTTTCCCTATCACTATAATAAATTGCAACAAATTTATTTAGTTACAATAACACGGTAAATTTAGTCAAAATAAAAAGTTATGTCAAATATATTTAGTCACATTATTTTGTTAAAATAAGAATTGTGACATTTATTTAATCAAAATAACAATTTATAAAAAATACTAATTTCTCAATATAAAAAATTGTGACAAAGTAATATTCTTTCACAATAACAAATTGCAACAAAATTATTTAATCACAAAAATTTTTTTATAGAAAATATTTAGTGACAGAATAAAAGTAGTGAGAAAATAAATTTTGTTGTAATATGTATTTTTGTCACGAAAACTTTTTTTATTTGATGTCATAATTTAAATTAATTGTGATAAAATTTACTTTTTGTGATAAAATAAATATTTATTTTAACAAATATTTTGTCTTTGTATTTTACATTTAATGAAGCAATAGAAACTGTGACAAATAATTTTTGTTACTGTATTTATTTTTGGCACAAAAACTGTTTATATTTGATGTTAAAATATAAGTTAGTTATGAAAAGTTTTCGTGACAAAATGGTTAATTGATTGTGACAAATATTTTATTGCGATAAGTTAATTATAGTAACAAAATTTTATTGTTACAATAAATTCTATAAAATGGTAACGAAAAAATTTTTGTCACAATATACTTTACATGACAAGGTTGTTCCAACAAACATTGTAACAAATAAAATTAGTCAAAATAAATATATCATAACAAATTTAGTACTTTTAGTGATAAATAATTTTGTTGAAACAATCGAAATTTATTGTAGTGAACCTATATAAATGGTATAGGGTTCAATTCTTTATCAACAGGGTTCGTTCAAGTGGTAAGCAGCTTGATATCGTTTAAGTAAGGTCTCAAATTAGAGTCCTTGTATATAAAAAAATCACCGTTGGGAGGCTCACCCACCAAAACCAGGTGTGTGAACCGGATAAGTCCACGACAACAAAAAAATAAAAAATAAAAATAGGGTTCAATTCTTTTCTCTGGTAAACTTAGCAATAAAATTTAGTGCAAATGAAATATTGATTGTTGATAAGGAGCGAGAAAATTTAAAAGTAAAAAATAAATTTTGATCAACATCATCATTAAAAAATTAACAATTGATGATTAAAATAAAAAAGCAGGACGCGGTGATTATTTTATTGAAAAATAATTCAATGGCTAAAATAGAAAAGAAACAATAATTTGAAGGCTAATGATGTAGTTTTACCTTAAATTCTAATAAACAAAAATTTTCTTTGGATAATTTTAGGATAAAAACAAGATAATATTTATTCAAAGACTTTAATCATTTAACAATGAACGTTCATAAACCTAATATTTAGGTCCAATAGTTCAAGAGATGACAATAATTCCTCAACTATCACTTGACTGATGCTTAATAAGCAGATTTTTATATAAAATATTTTCTTTAGATATGATAAAATCTGTGTAATATGTCCCAATAGTAATATATTTCTTTTTCAAAATTTTGAAAACAAAAGAAAAAAATGATCATGAAACCGAAACCTATTGCCGTTCAATAAATAGAACCTATAAGGTTTAGGTTGGAAATTCCTTCTCCTTTGCATGCTAATAGCGGTCGATCTCGACGGCTTCACGCCTTGATGCAGAAACGCCTTGTGGGGATTTGCTCCAGCAATCAAAATTTCTCTGTAATTCAACCATGCTCGCACCGCCGTGGCTCGACGGGCGGGCACGAGTGCGGGTGGGTGGTTGGAACGGCGATGTTGGCTGCACTTGAAGGAACCAGGGTGCTGCCGTTCAATAAATAGAACCTATAAGGTTTAGGTTGGAAATTCCTTCTCCTTTGCATGCTAATAGCGGTCGATCTCGACGGCTTCACGCCTTGATGCAGAAACGCCTTGTGGGGATTTGCTCCAGCAATCAAAACTATTTCTCTGTAATTCAACCATGCTCGCACCGCCGTGGCTCGACGGGCGGGCACGAGTGCGGGTGGGTGGTTGGAACGGCGATGTTGGCTGCACTTGAAGGAACCAGGGTGCTTGGTTTGTGAACACAGGCAGGTACGGGCGTGGGACGTGGTGCTGGGTGATGCAGCCTTTGTCGCCATGGGAGAATGATTCTGAATTAATGTTGATGGTTTGGGTGACAAAATTGATTAATATAGAGAATTTTCAGAGGGGTTTTATAGATTTGAAAACTTGTTTAATTTGTTCTGATTTGGTAAATTTTTAAGGTATTTCGGGTAAATAAGGAACAGAGGGAATTAGTTAAATAGAACAACGATGCTTGACAGTGAAACACTCTAGCATTGCCCCAAAATAATAATAAAATAATAATAAATCTCTTAAAATCCTACATTTTAGCTTAAACCCCAACAAGAAACATAACGTAACAAGCTACATATCTTTTAGAGAAAATATAATTTTTAATATCTAACTTTGATAGTTTTGTGTAAACGGTAAGTAGTACCCAACTTTTTTTTAATGGCGTATTTAGGTATCTATTTTTTTAGATAATTTGTATGTGTTATTGCCCAAAGAAAAGCAGAAATTTGCTTCAGTAATAATAAAGTATCCTTAAAAGCATAGACTATAAACAAGAATGTCTCAAACTGTACATAGTTGGAGGTTTACAAAATCAAACACACACACACATATATATATATATATATATATATATATATATTAAATGAAGCTTAATTATAACTATCTCTATAGTAGAACTTAAAGTCTCTTCATTCCTTGATTGTGTTGGGTGTGGATCCCACTATGTGGGAAAACCCACTCACCTCTTGAACCCATTTTTAATGGGTGTTTGTTTTCTACATTTCGGTGAAAATTTTATGCCACCTTAAAGTCTATTTTGACTTTGCCATTAAATGCTATTCTTTTTGCTTTTGAATTGTGTGTAGGCAGCCATAATATATAAAAAAAAAATCAGATTTGAAATCTCGAAGAGAGAGATGCTTGTTTGAGAGAAAAGAGTAGAAAAACAGATTTTTCAAGTTTTGGTGCAGCAGTGATCAACTCTTCGATCGGAGGTCCATCCATGTTCAATTGAGCTTATTTTTGGACAGTAGCTAGATGACTTGGTGTTCTTGAGTTTTGAAAGTCAAAATTTTCATCCGAGTCCTGTAGAGACAGGATTCGACAATTTTCAGCAGCTGCGTTTTTTGTGACATTCTCACATTTTTCTCTCTTTTGCTAAAGATTACATGTTGTTAGCCTTCTTGGAGTTGAATGCTTGTTGTAGGCTTAATATTGTGATCTTGTAGTTGAACTTTTGATGATGTGGAGCTTTTGATCGGACTCTAAAGTTTCGTGGGTTTTTACCCTTGATTTATAGGGGTTTTCCACTTAAAAATATTGGTGTCTCTATTTATTTGCATTGTGGTTGCATTGGTTGAATTGTGGTTGATTAGTGTTGCTAGAGAACTTGTATTGTGTTATTGTGCTTGCCATAATTTTTGACAGGAGTTATTGGGAGAGAAAGAACACCAATTGTGTTTCCGCTTGTGTTCGTTTGCTCAGTTTCTTCCCTATCAAAATGATATCAAAGCTTGGTTACTGTGTCAAATAATTACGCAAATTAATATGAACAAGATGATTGTGTTGAATGGCACAAATTATCAACTTTGATGGAATAAAATGAAAGACTTGTTATTCATGAAGGCTTTGCATCTTTCGGTCTTTGCTAATTAAAAACCCTATTTGAAAAGTAATGAGGAATGAGAATTTGAGCATCAACAAGTGTATGGCTTTATTCGACAATTTGTTGAATAAAATGTTTACAACCACATTGATCAAGATACACATGCTCGCACATTGTGGGAGAAGCTTAAAAGCTTGTATGCTTCGAGGTCAGGAAATAACAAGTTTTTGCTTAAGAAGATGATGACATTGAAATACAAGGAAGGAACGTCTACAACTGATCATGTTAGTGAGTTTCAGAGTGTTATGAATCAATTGCTTGGCATGGGAATCAAATTTAAAGATGAGATTTTAGGGCTTTGGTTGCCTGCTACTCTACCGAACTCTTGGGAGACATTTTGGGTCTCGCTCATTAATTATGCTCCACATGGTATTATTACTTTGGATTCGGCTAAAAATGGTGTATTAAATGAAGAGGTTAGAAGAAGATCTCAAGGTTCTACATCACAGTCTTAGGTGTTGGTTATTGAGAACAAGGGTGAAACATAGATAAACATGGAAAGTGTAATACCCCAAATTTTAGTTAGTGACCAAAACATAAATTTTTAAAATTTAGTGACCAAAGTATAAGGTTTGAAAAGTTTAAGGACTAAAAAGTTAATTTAAAAAAGTAGGTAATATGACCTCGGAAATAAATAGTTCACTAAGTGTGTGGTTTTGTGAAAATCAGATTTTGGATCCGGAATTTATGTTAAAAACTAGAAGGTGTTAAAGTCTAGGAAGAATTCAGTAAATCAGATCGAATATATAAATTTTGGGAAAATTTGAAGGATGATAAATTAAGCTTAAAATATTATTTTCACATGTTTAAATGTTGGAAAATAATATTGATCATTGGATTTGAGGAATTATAACCATGTTTAATTTGGATCGTTGGATGAAAAACGACAATATTGAAATTTTGGAAAGATTGCATGGGCAAAGCTGTAAAAGGTAAATTATTTTGTTCATATTTGACTTTAGGAAGATGATAACTGTTATGTGTCTTGGTATTAAGGTGAATATCAAGTTTAACTAAGGGTAAAATGGACATTTCTCATTAAATGAATATTTTACTCATTTAAGCTTAAATAAAAGTTACATTAACATGAAATTAAAGGAAAATTTCATCAAGTTGGGTATTTTCAGCCACCATTGTCGTGACTGTAATGTCCTAAAGTCGAGTCTAGTAGTTAGGGTTGGTTTCGGGTTGATTTCTGATAAAAATGAAGAAATTTTTTTAAAACTCTTTTTGGAAAGGTTTTAAGTGATTTTAGATAATTAATTTTAATTATGAAAGTTTAATTAAATGATTTGGTGACTGGATTAAAGGAATTGGAAACTATAATTTCGGTGATCATTTTGTAAATTTTCACAATGTCCAAAGTATATAAAGCAATTATGCCAAGGCTTATGTTTAGAGCTTTCCCTCCTAAATTAAAATGTTTTATTTTTCACTTTTAACCATTTTTTCATCTAGATTCATTTTAATCTAAATTCCATTTCCTTATTTACTTGTTTTCATTCACGTGCTTTTCATTTCCTTCTCATTTTACATTTTAGTAACTTCTCTTAACTTCTTCCATTATCTCTTATTTTCTCCCAAAAAAGTTGATCAATTCTTTCTCTTTTTCTTCTTGATTTCTAAATTCACTCATCTCAATCTTGATTTTAATTCTCAAGTTTCTCTTCTCTTCTATTCTTATTTTTAAAGCTTGATCATCATGGAGTTCCTTTGTTGATCTCAATTTCAATCCATTTCCAGCAAGGTAAGGATTTTTTCCTTGGTTTTCTTTCAAGCTTCGAGGGAAGTTGACTATGTGTGAATGATTTTATTGAATTATTGATTTAATTGAAAGGATTTCTAAGATTTCACTTGAATTTTCGGAGCTAATTAATGTGCTGATTTCTTGAATTGGTTTTGAGGTTTTCTTAATGAAATTAAGTTGTTTTTGGAGTGATTATAATCATATTAAATCAGTTTTTTCGATTGCAAATGATTTGGATATCGATTTCTTGAAAACAATGTTGATTTTTGGTATTTTTGGGAATCCTAGAATTTTGGTTTGTATATGTTAATTTGTGTGATTCTAGCTGAGTTAGATCTTGATTATAGTTTTTTATTATCTTGTAGTGTGGAGATTTGTGTGTTTCGAATTGAAGCTTCCGGAGTGACGTTTCGGTAAGGTTTTCGGTGTTTTCGACGTTTGCGCTATGTTTTAGAAACAAAGGATTCTGCTTTGTTTTACCTTAGATTGTGATGTGTCAATTTGATTTTCAAGGTTCTTATTGTGTTGTTAGTTGAGGGAACTTGGTACTTTGAGTTTGGTGAACGTTGAGGTAGTGTTTGGAAGCGTTTCGGCTTCCGGACAGCAAGGTGAGTGGCTCTTATTCTTAGGAAGTGAACATGATTCAAGGTTGAGGTTTGTGTAATGTTGCATTTGTTAATTCTGATATATTGTGTTATTTGGTTAATTATGATGATGGAATATGAATTATGTTGATTTACATATGATGCCACTTATGTCAGAAATTAGAATGTGAATTACGAATGTGATGTGTTGCAAATGATGCATAGGATTTCAGAAACGGTTTGTGAAAATATATGTATATTCTGAATGTGAATTGGATGAGCTGAAATTTCTCACTGTCCAAACATGTGGGTTGATCATGACAACCATCCGTAAGTGTGTTTCAAAATGTATTTGAGTTAATATGTGAAAACTACGCATCATTGACAATCGTTCTTGGTAAATTGGATTAATTGTCTATTCTTCTTAATAAGATCTTTGGATATGAAAGGCATGCTTAGGAAAGAGTACTCTATATGTTTGTATTAGTGTGTGATTCGAGATTATACGGGGCTTGGATGGTATGTTAAGGTTTACTATGCAAAGATACGGGGTAAGGTTGGGTATTGAGTTTGCTCTGTAATTTGTGGTTTTGGATCTATGTGAGTCTGTAAGCAAAACATGAGTTGTATGGAGTTCGTTTATCCAATGAGTGAGTTGTGTTTCTAACAAAAGCCATTGATCTTAACATGGAAAAATGTGTGTGATTTGTGTAATTTTCCAAGGAAGGTAATTGTGCATGTGTGCTTGTAAATGCTTTTGAACTATATGGTCTTTGATATTTGTTTAATTTGGAAATCAAGTGATTTGGAACATGTTAGCTGATCATTCAAGCATGAGATGTTGAATTACATGTGTAGAGTAAAGAACAAGTTACGTATGAGCATATAGGATTGATCTTTATCTTGGTTTTGTGCATTGCTTTGAATGTTAGTTGTTCATTGGGATTTATAAGCTCACACTCGTTGTTAACACTTTTTAGAGGATTAGATTTGAGTAGGAGCTTGGCGTCGGTGTGATCAAGCAAAGCTAAGGCATAAAGCAATACGTATGTGGTTTTCGGAAAC